TGAACTTGACCCTGCATGTACATGAATACAGGAAGTATCAGGACCATAACACACACTTTTACGTAGCTATTATGCTTTCTCGGGGTGTGGGGCGGGAAGTAACTCCCTCCCTCACACCTATCAAACACATTTTTGCCCTTCAGTTTCTTAGAAACACTGCAGGTTAATCATGGCAAATGAAAAACTATGTTCACCTGTGGTTAAAAGTAAGCCTGATTATTGTCTGATTCTAGTAGCCATTATAGGAAAACTGAGCATCCACTTTTATCTACAGTCATAGTTATTATTAAAAATGCTATTTTCTTTAAATTTAAAGTATTCTTTTTTCCATTGCTTTGAGTTTAATTACATCCAACTGTTTATTGATTATGGATTGGTTGCCTGCACAAATATGAGGACAGATATAAATCTAATTATACTTCAGAGAAAGTTTCTGATTTGCAAACAGGATCATTTTAACTAAGTGCTAATGATACAGCTACAGTTTTAAGACTGGAGGATGTAATAGATGAGGTTTTTACTTCTTTTAAATGAGACATTAAAGGATGATGAAAAGCTATGAGTCACTTTTCCTTAACTTTCATTCCCAGTGGCTACACTTCTAATAATACTGGTGTGCAAATATAGGCATGCTAATGTGTGCACAGAAATGAACACAGACCTCAGGCTGAAATCATGATGAAAATCAGAAAATTCAGGTTTGTGGTTCAGGATTTATAAAAGATCTCTGCTTATGGCTACAACATGGATAATTTCTTCTCCTGAAGTTACAATGAAAGTATGCATAAGGAAAAGCAAAGGATACTAGTAATTAATAATTTTTCTGCCTAAATGCATATTGTTAATCTTTTTTGACGGGGGGCAAAAGAATCTATTACTTACATAGTAGAGTTTTATAGCAATTTTCTCACTTGTAACGTATGAATTATTAACAGAGATCCTCAGTCTGATGTGGAAGCTGCTTAGGAAATCATTCCTTGGAATTAATCTTGGGGCAAGCTGCAAAACTAATGTTTCATGGTTTTTATACTGTAAGTAACATACTGTACTTCAGAGGTAGAAGCAATTGATTTCCAGCTTAACTGTCCAATTAAAACTTTTCTGATTCTCATGAGTGGGAGCAGGGTAATTCTCTATAGATCAGCAAACTGTCTTCCTTCCCAAAGATATTAAGTAAGTGGTGAAGAGGCCACTTTTACAAATGCCCATCACATTCAAAAGAAATCTAGCAAATATTATTATGCAACTGGCAAAGACTATTATGCGAGAACTTGCAGTTTGTGGAATGAAGAAACTGTTCAGCTTGGAATATAATCCACATTATCTACATAAAAGCAGTTTTGATAAGAAAAATGGTAAAAATAGCTTCTTTTTGAAAATAGAAGGAATCTTTACCTAAAAGTATAACCATGAACTCTTGCCCTCTTGAAACCATGGAAATCTTGGAACCATGGAAAATCCTCTTCTGAAATACACCATTAATGAAGGGGGGGGTTTGCATATATATATATATATATATTTATATTTTAAATGAAGAGGACTTTGTGGTTCAATTTTTTTGGTGCACACCAAAATTCTAGACCAGGAAAAAGTGGCTTCAGTATTGCTGATGTCCAGATTCAAAGTTCACCTAATATCATATTCTTGCATGTTCTCTGCCTTGGTTTGCTTTTGAGGAAGTATCAAAATTTTGAATTTTGATACGCGGGCATAAAAAATGATGTGATATTTTGAGCAGGATGGTTTTGAATCTGAATTTTGAAATGCACAAAGGAAAAAAATCTAGACAGGGAAAATAATGCTGTATTTTAGTCTACAGAAACCTTCTATTCCTTTTGAATCCACACATGACTTGTTAGCAGGAGAAGTGTGGGTTCTGTAATGTAGAATCAGTATGCTACATTAAGGACATGTTGCTCACAATTTATTGTTCTTAATCACAAAAGGAAACCTTAAGGGATATGTCATGCTTTTTGCAGTTATTTCTGATTCGTAATTAAGATCCTCCAGCTCTGAAAGTATCTAGAACTGCCAATGTACTCTATGAATTTACTCTGTTTCTGCAATTGTAATGTGCACTCTAGTATGGCCTCTACAACCTGTTTGTGTGGAGTGCTCCTATAAATAACCCTGATACTCAGTGTTCATGTAGAGCTATGGGACCTATTCTTCATGTAAAGTGACAAGTTAATAAATGCACTGCTCTCAGATAAGCTCCATTGATTGACAACAGCAGTTGATATGGGATAACACCACATGGGCAAATTTGTGACAATAAACTCTAAAATTCCACAGTGTTTGGAGAAAGTGCTTGGCAACCAATCATTTAAAACATTTAGATATAAGTACGTCAAATTATGTTTTTATCTAACAGATCACTTACTTTGAGATATTTGAGTGTCTATAAACTTCTTTATCAAGGCGTCAGTTGTTTGTGTGTAAAGGCTAAGAGCATATCTCAGGGACTGTAGGTCTGGGCTCTTTTCCAGGAAATTCTTTTTCAGCCCACTTCCTCCAGCATGGAAGTATTGCTAAAATGAAAAACAAATATGGTTGTTTGGAGAGGCAAATTATCCGAGAGAGACCTCAGTTACTGACATGCAATTTTAAGTAAAATTCTTACACAAATTTTAAAAATAACACCTGGCATGTGTAGCTAGATTTATAATTATAGCAGTTCAGATAACTGTCATCATCTCTACTACAGACCTTCTTTCCAAAAGTAAATATTTAAGCCTTGAGGGAGAAAAAAATATACAAAATTTTACTTGTGGTCTTCCTGATCTCAAGTATTTATATGTCAAAACTAGATATAGATATTTGCAGGGTTCTTTTAGGTTGGGAAGAGTAGAATCAGTTTTAATTCTTTATCTAAAATAAATCTCTAAAATCATGGCATGGTTTACAGCACAAGTAAAGAATATATCATTTCTGAGGGGAGGGGGAATTATGTTAGAATTTTAAAAGAGAAGATCCTAGAATATGAAGTTTTGCATTGCATTGTAATTGTGCCTGAAATTATGATTATGCTTTGGGAAATTATTAGAAATTCATGGAACTTTCCAGCGCGATTATCTTTTTTGATTCCAATTTTGACCTGTTTTACCATGGATATGCAGAAAATGTGTGTGTCACCCTTGAGTGACCACATTAGGGTTTCCCGGCCTGTGAAAGGAAAAAGATCCTTAAAAAGAGGATTTCTTTTGGGGCAGAAGAGCTGTGCCCACAGGTCTCTATGTACTCCACTACACCAGTAGTGCTTCCTGCAAACCTAAAATGGGGGCAGATCTTCACCCTGCAAGCAATTGCACCAGTGTAGAGATTACTGCTAGCTGTTCATCAAGGCCTGCTTACAAGGCAGCACCCATTCTTTTGCTGTCCCACTTATACTGATAATTTGAGTGCTCCCTTCCTTCTTTCGTTAAAAAAACCAAAGCAAAACCAACCTAAATTAGCTTAAACACTTTCAACAAAAGATTGCTCCTGATCTACTGGCACAGCTAGATTTGGAACAAAATATATGTTCGGCATGGCACTCTGATGCCATGCTGACTATGTAAGTATTATTCAATAGTATTAATACTATTGAAGTATTATATTATGTTTCCAATCCCAAAGCCGAGTTCAGAAACATAAGGACAGTTTCTTCTCTTCTTCCTTCCAAAATGAAGAATTTTCCCTAAATTTTTACACAAGACAGTGGTTGACAAACTAATGCACTTAAGCTACAAAGAAAATATATTGGCTACACAAGTTTGAAACCAGTGTTTTGTTTGAACACTTTGTACAGCATTTTGCAATGTACATTAGTTCTAGGTCTCAAGATCGATGTCTAAATCTCCCATTAATGTCTAATTCATCAAAGCAAACAATGTTTTTCAGGAAAACGCTGTGATTACTTGATGACATGCAATACTGTTCTACTCAATACAGGGAGTGTTTGGAACTGTAAGTAGAATCTATTCTCCCTGCAATTTTGGAGTGTTGCCAAGGTAATATATGCAATATATACATTTCAGTTCCCATACATACATATATACTAAATGCTTTATCCTAAGCATATCTGTGACAAAGCAGACCTACAGTCCATACATGCTCATTGCATGTTAGTCTACACATTTCACCTTCTGATTCTCAAGATTTTTGCAGGAGATGAAACATAAATGTACTTTTCATAACAAAAGTCATTATTTACATTTCTGTGTTGACGGCTACTGATTGTTACATGTAAAAAATACCTATAGGAGTAAAACAAAGGATTTGAAGTTATCAGGCTGAAAAGTTATATATTGTTTTAATCCTATGTGGGCAGTTACTGTCAATTTAAGAGGTTCTGACTAAAACTCACCTTCTGTCTTCTCATCCTTGCATACTTACATGAAATTTATCTTTGCAGGTGAATTATTTCATACTATATGTTCCAAAGAAATCTCTATTGTCTTAATTGTTTAAAAGTGTGTTCATGATTTCACCAAGGATCTTAATCAATTTATAAGCAAGTGCTAAAATCTGTTATTTCCTGCTATTGTGACAATTACTGTGATTTTGTTGTTGTTGTTGTGTCTCCCAATAGAATGTTATCTGCAGTAGCAGCCTCAAAGGACTAAAAGCTCCATGCAAGCTAACAGATATTTAAAGAAACAAGGACACCTGACCCTAATCTTCCTGAGTTTTTACATTTTTTTGCCTTTGCCCATAAATGGTAAATTTTGCATGCAAACCCACTAATATGAACATATCATTATTGTATGGAATCAAATATAGAAAAATAATGAGTAAACAGGGTTTTATAGATTCAGTTGGACACCGAGTACCCTGATCTTTAGACATGTAAACTTAAAATAGTTCATCTGCTACTCATTCTCCAGTGTGAGGAGTTTCAAGGTTCACAGGTGACAAAAGAGGCTTGAAAGCCATACTGACAAATCAAAGGTGCAGAGACAAGTGCATAATGTCAAGTATGTGGAAATCAATGCTGTAGCCACTGCAGTCTCAGCCAAAACTTGACCAATACCATGCAAGTCACATTGGGTGGTAGTTTCACTTTGTAGAGTGCCTCTGGGTTTACAGTACTTGAAAGACAAAAATGGAAACTAGAACAATATTATCAATGAACATTATCTCTGGGCTGAGATAATAAGATAGTTGAGATAACTCAGTTTGAAATAACTGAGGCCAGAAAGCCACTTCTCCTAACAGTAAATTGCAAATTGAGCTAAAAAAAAAAGCTAAGGTTCTTTTTACATTATAGAAAGACTGATGATATACTATATATATTTAAGATGAAAGATTATTCCTTTATTTTATGTTCTTCAAAGCATTAACAACACCATCATCTATTAAATCATAATTGTAAGTTGCTCAGTGAATTAATTTTTGGTACTAAAAATTAGACTAATGGAAGAAAAAAATGAAAAAGACTGCAAGGATGGAGATACTCCTCCCCACAGATCCCTTTCTTAAAATAATCAATTACTTCATTTTTAAACAGATACCATATGCCATTTCTACTATTCTTCTATTCTTATTTGGGCAGACACTTTTTTTTGCTTTTAAACAAACCATACTTACCTAGCATTAGCAAAAATTTGTGTATTTTGCATCACTAAACTTATGAACTGCATTCCTAGGTCAACACAGCAGTCTTTTTTCTTGAGTTAACTCACAAGAGTTGTCTTTGTTCACTTTCTAATAGTGTAAGACCAATTTCTGCGTGATCAAGGCTATTTGCTTAGTATTTTGGAAAAAAAGTTCTTGCCATATCATGTATCAAGCACAGTAAGCAGGTTATAATGCCATGTCATTGCCTTACAATTTGAAAATAGGTTTTTCAGAGAGCGTTATTTTACTCAGTTTATGAATATAGTGCACAGAGATAAGAATACTGAATTAATAGAGGATTTTCCCTATTTCTAACTGTTTTCCTCCAATTCTAGACTTTTGTTTATTAAATTGTTGATATCTATATATATGACTCTTCAGAGTTTAAGCACTGGAAATTCAGGCAAAGTTAGAATTTACATTTTCCCCAACTTCTATTTATTTAGAACAAATGCTTTAAAAGGAAAATACTTAGATTCGCATACTGAACTGAGGACTCCACAGGGCTTAATTTGGGAGCACGCAGTACTTCAGCGATTTGTCCCATTTCTTTTTCCACAATATCAGTAACCCCCAAATATTATTTTTACTTCTGAATGAAATGCTAGTTCCACTGCAAATACAAAAAATGGCAATTGGGAGCCCTCTCTGATACTTCTTTCTTGTCTTTTGAGACACTATTTTGTTGCACAAGACTTGATCATGAATATGTCCTCTCAATTATATGTTCAATTTTATACTTAAGTAGCTGCCTCCTTACCTTCCTGATGTTCTGTCTTTTCAGCAGCAGACAGGAAAATATGTTGTTATTCTATAAATTTATTGCTTTCAAGTTATTTACACCAAGTAAAGATCCAGGCCAATGTGAAAAAGACTGGTAAGTACATTAAACAACATTCCTTAATGTCTTCCTTTGACTTCAGAAACCCAATCTGTGAAGACTTTATGAAAGTCTCCAGTTTTTTATTGGGGGTGGTGGGGGGGAAGAGGACTTTGTTAATCTCTTTACTTTTACATTTAAGAGCATAAGCTAATAACCATAAAATGAGTAGAAGCGAGAACAAAGTTTTCAGAACATTTCATCTATGGTTTCAGAGGGATCAAACCCTAGAGTTACTTTATCAAATACCAATAATTTAATTTGTATTTCTTGTAATGAGATTAGCACCAGGTAAGGTTGGATTGTCTCTAATATGGCTCTTTAAAAAACCTAATGTAAAACAGCTACTACAACGCTAAGATTTTTCTACGTTAGTTTTATGCATTACCAATATCTTGTTGACGCAGAAGTGTTTTTAATAAACAGGTGTGTGATGAATATGATTTTTTGTTTTCATTGAAAAGAGATCAATGTGTAGAATAATTAAACGGCATCTTTAAATTAAATCAAATTATTTAGGAGTGACAGCAAATTAGATGGCAAACTCCAAACTGTAAAAATTTCATAAATTCAACTGGACATTGAATTTAAAACAGTGCACATAATGCATGGTATTAAAAGCCTTGTTTTGTGGTATGCTATAAAAAAACGTGTCATACAAGTCTGCAGGAGAGTGCAGCTAGGAATAACCACATTTTCAGGCTCAGTGTCTCCTCTGTGGGAGAAAAAAAGGCTATGCTGCAACATAATAAGGATTAGTCCAGCTGCTTCAGCTGCACTAACTCTAAACTGTGAAGGAACACAAGAATCGGATAAGCTTTGGCCATCAGTTCCTTTAAGGGAACATATTTTGTCTGCAACGGGTAAAATAATTTTTCTAACTTTTCTGCAAGCAGACTGTTAAACATTTGCTTTCAAGTCAATACAAGGAGCTTAGGATCAAATGGTTCTTGACATATTAAAGGGATCTTTATGCTTCTAAGGGACCATTCTATATTAGGTCTGTTGTTTATGTCAATCATGTTCTTGGTCATTTCAGCACAGAATAGAAAAACATGTAAAGCTATACCTTTATAGTAGCTAGTGCTACTTCCATTACTGCACACTGCCTCAGGGTCAGGCTTCTGGCTTCCTCTCGAATCACATGGTCCTGCAAAGCAAGTTAAGACTGCAGTTGATTTTGAAAGAGAGACAGTATTGTGGCCTGTCTATTCTTGGAAAAACAAATATACAAAACCGCCAAATGCCTCTCAAGCCCCTATGATTAACAGGGATTAATTAAACTTCGGAATTCTTTTACAACAAATTATAACCTAGAACCATCATGTTGTTTCTTGAAAACATAGGTTGTGGGGGAAAAAGAACCAGGGTTTAATGCTGAGCATCTGTGTAGCTTGCTTTCTTTTCTCCTAGGATGTATTATTTCACTGTTCTGGAGTG